GGCGCCGCCCCGCTCACCTTGGCGCTGCACCGTGAAGCCGTCCACGACCCCGTAGTTGTGTCTGCAGTAGGTGTCCACCATCCCCCGCCTGTACTCCAGCTTGTCTTGCTGGCTGTTCCAGTACTCGGCGTCGGGCCGCCCCAGCTCGGTCACCGCGCGGTACTCCCCGACCTCGCTGTCGAAGCGCGCGTACTCCTCCCCGTTGTAGAAGTATCTCAGCACGTAGCGCACCCGCTGCGTCCCGTTGAGGAAGTGACATTCGTGTCTGACTTGTTCCAGGAACGGCACTGTGGGGACAGGAGCGGTTACTGTCAGGGCCGCGGTGACCTCTGACCCCAGGCTCTGAAGGATCAGCTCCCTCCAGGACCCCGAGAAGATTGGACACAAGACAGAGGCGACTGTGACCCCCGAGGACGAGGACGAGGACGCCCCACTGCAGCAGAGCCGCCTGTGTGCGGGAAGGGGGGGCGGGGCGGGGCGGGTCCCCGCACACTTCCGGAGCCAGACACCTGACATCTCCACCTCCACCAAGAACAAAGCAGGCAGCAGACCCGGGAAATCTCCACCCATTCCCCACAAAACGTGGGACAGTCCTCCCCTCTCTACCTTTTATTCAGAATCTACAACCTCCCTTCCCCACAGGGAGAGGATCAGAAGCACTAGCTTTCCCTCCCAGGGTTCTTATTCTTGGCCCAGAGTAAAGCAGCCTTAGTTCTGCCATTCCAGCAAGGCCAAAGGTCTCCCTCTGGAGGGGGAAGGGGGGAGTGGGGGGATGGAAGAGAAACAGGAGAGAGACAGCAAGAGGCACCTTTGGGAACAGAGTGGGAACAGACTGTGGAAAGTCCTGAGCCCTCTGGAGAGGCCTGCTGTTTGCAGAGAGGCCTGGGGAGAGTGGAGAGGCCAGCAGAGAGGGAGGAAGGAAGGAAAGGGAAAGGCCTTCCCCAATGGAGGTTTGGAAGTCTGGAGGTTTGGAGGTTTGCAGACTGACTAATGGGAGGTTTGCAGACTGACTAAAGGGAGGTTTGCAGACCGACTAATAGGAGGTTTGCAGACCGACTAATAAAGGTCAAGGCTGTTCTTTGGAGGTTTGGAGGTGAAGGCTGCTCTTGGCTCTGGGTAGCTAGACCATGACAAGGTAGTCACAGACCCCTTTCTAGTATAAATAAAATTCTTTTGTTACCTATAACCCTGCTTCTGAGGATTGTCTCACTCCCAGGTCAGTACAGTTGGAGGCCACAGCAAGATAATCCATCTACATGGCATCGGGCCTTGGCCCCCAGGAAACCCCTCATAGGTGAGCGCCTCAGCCCTCAGGGGAGAGAGCCTCCCTCCAGCAGCTGTTTCCCAAGGACCAACAAGGAGTCATTAGGAAACTCTGCAGGGGGAAGTCGGGCAGGACTGCATCTGGACAGACTCACTGAAGGCTGGACACAGCACTACTTCCCAAGTCCAAGGCCAGGATGAGGTGTTGCGCCACACCTCCTGGAGGAAGTCAAGAGGTCATCTGAGACTTCCTTGGGAGGTCATCTGGGCCATGTGGGACATGTGGATTAAGTGTGTGAGGCTACTTGTCTGTGTTTGTTTTTTAGTAGTTCTATCTGTATCCTGTATATACCTCTACTTACTCCTTTTTTTCCAGGTTGGGGAAACAATGTCCTAAGGTTCTTGTAGGTGAAACTGTAACTGAAAAATCTTCTGTCCAGTGTTACAGGCCCCAGAGGAAGACCCACTGGTGCACTCTCCCTCCTGCTCTGTGCCATTAGCACCTGTGATGTGAAGTCCCCACCCCCACCCCATGCCAGAAGTGGCTCCTTGTTCCAGCCTGAGGTAGTAAAGGTGGTGCAGTCCCCTTACTACCCCTGAGACAGGAGCATGGGGAGACTGTGGGCAGGCCCTGTTTCTAGGGTATGTTCCCTTTACAACTAGTGACCTGTATAACTGGGAACAACAAAACAGTGTTTGTCACACACAAGCCCACCTGCGATGATTGCCAGCAACTTTTACAGGTGCTGTTCACTTTGGAGGGAAGGGAGCAAATCTGGCACAGTGCCTTGGACCAGATCGTTTTCCCACTGATGACCCAGTCCATTTGGACCGAGTCTTTTTCCAGACTCACTCAAGCTGGGAATCCAACAGCGATCAAGGTAAGGAGGCACTTACAAATTATTGCAGACTCTGTTGGCAGGGATATGGGCAGCAGCTAGGAAGCCAACTAAGGTGAGTGAGACAATACAGCTCCCAGAGATTCCCTCACTGCTTTTCTGGAATGTCTCTTGGCAGCCTATAGGACTTGTATGCCTACAGGTCCTGAGGCCCCAGAGAATCAGAGAGCCCTAAATATGGCCTTGGTTACCCAGTCAGCCCCAGATATTATAAAAAAAAGCTTGAAAGGTTAGACCGTTTTGAGGGAATGGTGCTATCTGAGGTGGTTGTGGTTGCCCAGTGGGTGTTTGATAAGAGATAGAGTAGCAGCACCAGGACAGGGATAAAGAAACCCTTGGCAATGGTATGACTTGTTTCTAAATGCCAATAGTGAACCTGTAGGATGAGACCAGTGTGTTTATTGCAAGCATAACAGAGATTGGAAAGGGATCATCCAAAAATGGAAAATGAGAGGTTAAGTAAGGGAGTTATCTGCCAGAAAACATTGTCCATGTCTCCTGAGAAACATGGAAAAGAGCTTGGGGCTCTGAAATCTAACCTTGATGAACTTAAAAATCTCTGGCCAGGCACTGGTGGCTCATACCTGTAACCCTAGTTACTCAGGAGGCTGAGATCTGAGGATCGCAGTTCAAAGCCAGCCTGGGAAGGAACGTTCATCAGACTCTTACCTCTAAACACCAGAAAACCAGAGGTAGTGTCATGACTCCAGTGGTAGTGCGCTTGCCTTGAACTGAGGAGCTCAGGGGACAGTGCCAGGCCCAGAGTTCAAGCCCCACAACCAAAAAAGAAATCTGCTCTCTGAACTTAACAAAAAATATGGTGAGGACCAAGAAATAATTCACACACTCCTGTCTGAAAACACTGGCTTGAAGAAGACCCTGAACCTCCAGTACATGCCAGTCAAAACCACAAAGAGGCTAAAAGCAAATTCAACAGCATACTGGAGAGAACCAAGAGAAAATTATTGGATATGAAGAAAAGACTTGAAGACATATCCAGGAATTGTAAAAGCCAAAGATGAGAACAAAATCCTCAAAAGGAACGTGGAAACTCTGAGAATGAAATGAAAGCCAAGTACATCATCCGGGGTGAGCACGAGGCCAAGCTGGGGGCACGGGTCAGAAGCTGAAAGAGCCACAGGACACCAACGCTGCCATCCTGGCTGAATATAAGCAAGGCAGGAGGAGATCCTGATGCTGCACGTGGAGATCATGACCTGGAGGAAGGAGCTGGACATGATAGAAGAATGTATTAGGCTGGAGTGCATGCCAATTATCAGCTTTTGAAGAGTGTAGGCAGAAATTCAAAGCAAGTAAGAGAGAACTAAAGGAGCAGATAGTGGAGCAGACACAGAAGTGCCATGTCAGAAAAGCAGAGGCCAAGAAAAGTGAGCAGGCTTTCCCTCCATGAAGTCCACTTCCCAAAATTCACCAGGTGAGCTTCCTCTCTTACACGCCTGCTCCACATGTTCTGTCTTTCCAGCATTTACCTGTTGGCAACTTTCTACATACATTACATAGGCTTGGCAGGCTGAGGCCACACTGGTTTTCAAGACAGTTTTAGGCAGTGGCCCCGGGGCAATTTACCAGGTGACAAATAACCAGATATAAGCAGACATGGAAGGCTTGAGCCTGGAACCACTTTTTGCAAGTGCAGTCTCCATATTTGCATAGAAGAGGCCAAGAAAAGTGAGCAGGAAAGCAACAGGCTCAAGAAGGAGATTGTCACTCATCAGGAAGAATTAAAGGACACGAATTCTCTGATAGGGAATGCCCAAGAAATGGAAAGAGCAGTAGGCAGAAAAACAGAAGAGGAAACAAACAGTTGAAAGATCTGTCAACAAACACACTGAAGTGAAGAATGAGGAAGAGAAGCTATTAGAGGAAAAAGGTCAAACAGACTGCCAAGATCCTCGCCACACAAAGTCTAATTCAGAAGCAACATGTCCCAATGGAACAGGTGGAGGTGCTGAAAAAGTCTCTCAATGGCACTGTGGAGAACTTAAAGGAGGAGCTGAAGAGCAAGCAAAGGAGCTGTGAGAAGGAGCAGCAGGCTGGGAGCAGGCTGCAGCAGCAGTTGGACAATCAAAGCAACTCTTCTGTGGCCCTGGTAGAACACTTGCTGGTTAAGGAGGCCTTTGAGAAGGAGGTTGGATCATGGAAGCAAGCGGGAGAGAAAAGGAGGAAGAAGAAAGCCAAAATAAGACAGAAGAAGTCTCCAAGCTCCAGACTGAGGTTCAAAACACTAAACAGATGTTAAAGAAATTAGAGACCACTGAGGTTCAGGGAAACAACTGAGCCTATCAGGTAGCTTGGGAGGCTGCCCCAAAACCAGTGGGGCCTCTACTGCTACTAGTCATTAAGATGAAAGGAAGAAGCAAGAAAATCAGTGGTAATGTATGCAAATGTAGAGACTGCACTTGTGAAGAGTGCTTACAGGCTCAAGCCTTCTATGTCTGCTTATATCTGGTAACTTACCCCAGGCACTGCCTAAAACTGTCTTGAAAACCAGTGGGGCCTCAGTCTGCCAAGCCTATGAAATGAATGTAGAAAGTTGTCAACAGGTAAATGCTGGAGAGTCAGAACATGTGGAGAGGGTGCATAAGAGGAACCTCAGGGTGACTTTTGGGAAGTGGACTTCATGGAGGTAAAGCCTGGAAAGTATGGGTATTGGTAACTGTTAGTACTAGTGGACACTTTTCCAGGCTGGGCTGAGGCATTCCCAACAAAAACCGAAATGATTCAGGTAACAGCTGAAAATGACTCCATGAAATAATTCCTCAATTCAGCTCACCCTTAGTAGTGGAGTTCGACAATGGCCCTGCCTTCATAGCCCAAGTCACTCAATTATTAGCTAAAGCCCTAAGAATAAGTTGGAAGTTACATTGTATTTATAGACCTCAGAGTTCAGGACAGGTGGAAATTGGTCCTTCAAGGAAACTTCAACGAAAGTAATTACAGAGAATGGGCCATGACTGGGTAAACCTCCTCCGCTTTGCTCTCCTCCAAGCAAGATGCACCTCTTACCCACCCCCTTTCAAAATAGTTTATGAAAGACTGCCCCCTTTAGTTCCTAAACTGGGGGAAGCTATATTAACAGAAATGTCTAACCACAATCTTGTACA